TTTTTCTTTACTTGACCTGCATTGTGTCACACATATCCATGCCAGGTTATAACCTCAAATTCTCAGCCACTGATTGCTTATGAAGAACTGGTTTTCATTTAAAAATTCTTAACGCAGTAGGAATTTGAGACTGAGAAGGAAGCCTTTTAATTCTTTCATTCTCTTTCTTCTTTATCTTACCTCACACATTCTTATAGTTTCTAAGGTTTCAATTGAACATTTCATTGATACGAACTACTGTGTCACTAAGGTAGAATCTTTGCTCACTTACATAACACTTCTTCAAGGAAAGCAGGATACAAATGCCAAGAATTCTCAAATAAAATTACACCCGCCACATATCAAATAGGCCTATACAGAATACCATGCAACATGGCTTTTTTTGCTTTTTGGTTGTTGTTTTTACAAGCTTTCAAGTGTGCAAAACAATTACACAAAGTCATTGCATTATCCATCATGCTGACATTTCAAAACCACAAGGAAGGAGTTTCTAAAAGTACAGCAATGCCACATACTGATCCAGCTACAGGATACCTTTATAATCAAACGCCGGCGAATAACTCGGGTAGTGACTCTCCGTTCTTCCTCTGAGCTTGAATCACTCTCACTGTCTTTCAAGTCCTGATAAATGCATTTTTAGTATAATTTTACCATCACACTTAAAATAAAAAATATTCTGGGAAGGGAAATTAGAAAGAATTACATTTACTTGATTTTTTTTTTTTTTTGCTAACTAAGGAAAATAATGATGTATATTTGTGAGAGTCTTTAAAAGTATTAAGTGGAAGAAAATTTTTGACCAGGATTCTAAGTGAAATTACTCCGTTCGTGTGTGCGTGTGTGTGTATGTGTACAGGTAAAGATCAAGCTGGTTATAAATTACTAAAAAATAATTATGGAGCCTTTTTGGCATCAGAAACTACAATTAATCATTCATATTCCTTTTAAAACTAGTTTTAGATCTATATTCATCTGCCATGAATGCATATACCCTTGCATTTTGGGCCACATTTCATTTGATCTACAAAAGAGGCATAATATTTTGGACTTTTAGGAAATTTTGGTCAAATTTGACAACCTTATCAAAAGCAAAGAATCTGGCTGGGTGCAGTGGCTCACACCTGTAATCCCAGCACTTTGGGAGGCCAAAGCCGGTGGGTCACTTGAGGTTAGGAGCTCAAGACCACTGGCCAACATGATAAAATCCTGTCTTTACTAAAATACAAAAATTAGCTGGGCATGGTGGCCTGCGCCTGTAATCCCAGGTCCTCAGGAGGCTGAGGCAGGAGAATTGCTTAAACCCAGGAGGCAGAGGTGGCAGTGAGGTGAGGTCGCACCACTGTACTGCAGCCTGAGCTACAGGGCCAGATTCCATCTCAAAAAAAAAAAGTAAAGAATTTACATTAGCATATTTTGGCACCTATATTTATCTCAAGAGATTAATATCAGCATAATTGCTATGTAACACATAACTGGTACTAAGAAAGAATTTATTCAAATGAATGAAGGAATAAATGCGTGAAAGCTTGAAATTTTTTTTAAAGAATGGATATAAAATAGAACAAGAATATGGTTATAAAATAGTAACAAGAATATCGTTACTGCAAAAAATGTTAATTTTTAGGCAATAAAGGTAGGAATTAGGAAAAACTACCGAGGAGCAAATAGTTCATAATTTGAAAGAGAAAGTATCTTTAGCTTTTACTTAGATGCCAGGGGAAGGAGTATTTACTGAGTGGTTATAAGTCTAACTTTTAATGGTGGAACTATGAAAATAATTCTGGTATTTTGTCTTTGAAGTTAATTCATTACGTCAAATCTAATAGTCCTTGAGACAGGAATTTAGTTAACAACCATTAGAAAAATGAATTCTAGTATTTTTTTTTTAAGTGGAAACAATAAAATTGCTATTGGAGGTGTAGCTATTAGATAAAATGCTTTATGAAATGTTAGTTGAATAGATAATAAACTAGGCCATTTTTTTCACTAACAGTAAACTTGACAAGTCTTTTCAAATGTTAAACAGTAATATCAGCCTTGACTTTGTAGGGAATTACATCTCAACAAACCACCCCAATGAACAATATGGTTTTAAAAGGAAATCATAACTACTATCCTTAAAAGGAGTGAAGTTTGCTGTTAATATTTTAAATTTTTCAGTAAAGGACAGTAAATTTAGGACACTTAGAATGATCTAAGTATTGTAGAAGGAAGTCCTTCAAAGTCTCAAGAAGGCAGAAAGAAGTAAAAGGAATTCGTGTTGATGAAGGAAAATAATTATTAGTCAGCATTCCAGGATTAATGGGTTGGATGAGACAAAGGGGAAAACTGAGTCTGAATTATCCATAAATGGAATATTAAATTGGGGAAAGGTTTTCATCTGGGTGAATTCAAAAGTAGAAGAATATCTAGGTTAAAACAAACAGAAAGAATCATGTGAGACCACCCCCTTATATATAAAAAAAGTGGCCATTGGGTCAGTGTTTCAGTTTCCACTTTTTCCCTGGAGTCTCTGCTAACCTTAAAGTGCAGATGGAAGTAGAATCTCAGGCTCAGATACCTTTTAGAGAATTATCTAAGAATTGGTAAAGGGGAAAACAAGGAAACCAAATGGGATTTTCTCAATACTCCTTTGCCATGGGCCACTGCATGGAAACAGGTGGAAAATAGCAGAGTTTTACCTTGTAACAGCAGGCAGTCATCCGTGTAAGAGCCGCACCCGAACTTTTGACCTGATTTTTTGGGGGATAAAAAGGGGGCTGTTTTCTGAGATCATACATCAGATGACCTAGTTGGTTGCTATTATACTATGGTATAGCCACGAACGATACATCCTAAACATCTTTGGATTTCTTGTGAGGTCAGGTTCATGTCTCCTAGAAGCTTTAATTCCATTATGGATTTTTATGGTCATGAAATCTTTATGCATTAGAATAGGACTCGAAACCAATAGCAGAGGCACAAACTCCTTTACAAGAAATCTTGAAAATGTTTTCTAATTGTAAATTATTTTCCTTTACTGACAAACTCAGCTGAGTTTCCACTCAGGGTTTAAAACTTAATTTTCAACCATCTTTATGCCAATGGCCAATATGGTTTTCCAATAGTGCATACATATGCACATGTATACACACAGCAGTGTTTATATGTATTTGTACAGTAATTTGCCTTTAGAACTTTAACAGCCCTTTGCAGAACATTCACGAGAAAAATACCACTATGTTACTGCTTCTCTCTATATTTTGTGGGATCATTTTAATGGGAAACTTATCTAAAAGACTACTAAAATATACTAAGAGTCAAGTCAAAGACAGAAATCAATATTCAAAACCACATTTGTCAGGAAGAAGTTAAAGGCCTGAAAAATACATAAAAGAGCTTAAAACAAAAACAAAACCATTAATATAAAATTTGGTGACGGCAGTTACTAAATGAGCTAGAGATTATTTTGGGATATCATTTAAGCAACTGATTACCACCATCAAATCTTATATCAAAGCAACTAACAGGGAAAAAAACCAGACGATGTAGAACTGTACTTCCTTTTACTCTCCTTTCTAACAAGCCTGAAAATAGTCAAACATAGTCTGCAGAAGGGAAAAGGAAAGGATATTACTGATAAGCTGATAATTAGCTCCTGAGCGATTGAGAGTTTGCTAAAAGTCTTCCTAAAGCTCAAATCAATCTTGAACTCATTAATTTAGAAAAGACTTGTTTTTTCCTCCCAAAACACTAAAGTAAGGTTTTCAGTGAACTAGGTATGTCTGAGGGAAAACTGCAAATGCTACTATTCCAAACATGTATAACTTTCAATCTCTGTCAATTGCAGAGTTGTTGAAAAGACATAAAAATTGAGAGAGTAAAATGCAGTAAAAAATGAAGGAAACAGAGCTGGTTTTTATTTTCTTATATCCACGTATGAGTCATAATTTCAGTTCAAAATACTTTTAATATCTAAAAATAGCAAACCTCAAAGAAAAAAACCTATTAGATGGTACCACAAAAACAAGTATGAAAAGCAAGCAAATTCATCACAGTAAGGTTTTAAAGTGATTAGAAACACATGTTAAGACAATTATCAACTTAGATATAAAAATTGTAAAAATGATACTTCTAACTTTAAATTTCTAACTGCTGTCAACTCACCTCATTTTAGGCTTGGAATTTCATCTCTTTAATTTTTAAAACAACTTTCAGACAACAGACCATACAGAATAGAACTTAGATGAGTCAGATGCTATAGACTGTTTATGCCAAGTAATCAGAAAGGATCGGAATGATTATCTTCCTCCCATGAGGAATAAGACAGAGTAGGAGTTAGGAAACCTAAATATCAGATAAAATACTGGATCTTGAACTAGTTTCTTTTTTTTTTTTTTTTTGAGACGGAGTTTCGCTCTTGTTGCCCAGGCTGGAGTGCAATGGCACGATCTCGGCTCACCGCAACCTCCGCCTCCTGGGTTCAGGCAATTCTCCTGCCCCAGCCTCCTCAGTAGCTGGGATTACAGGCATGCGCCACCATGCCCAGCTAATTTTTTGTATTTTTAGTAGAGACGGTGTTTCACCATGTTGACCAGGATGGTCTCGATCTCTTGACCTCGTGATCCACCCGCCTTGGCCTCCCAAAGTGCTGGGATTACAGGCTTGAGCCACCGCGCCCGGCCGTTGAACTAGTTTCTTAATGTCTCTCTGGTTCTTGACCCTCCTAAAAATGGCTAAACAGATATTTATTCCCTTTTCCTTCACAATGAATGAAGGTATGATCAAATGGCATATATTTTACTCAGAATTCTTTTTTACTTATGTATTTTACTCAGTACTTTCTTTACCTCCACCATTACTGCTACAATTTCACACATTTATAATTTAGAAATGGTAAAAAACAAAACAAAACAAAACAACAACAACAAAAAACCCTGGGCCTACAAGATTAATCCAAAGAAGTAAAGCATCAATACTTTCCATTTCAATGACGGCTACTGGATGACCAGATGACATACCTTTTGCTCAGACCCACTGGACCCCTCTTCTTCATGGAGGTTAAGCCTTGGCTTGCCATCTGGGGGAGAAGTCCTACTCATCTTTTTCATACTGACAGGCACACAGGGTTTAGTCTCTTCTATTACAAGCTTGCTGGTTTCTTCTAGAGATTTCTGATATGCTGCTAGTGGTGATGCTGGTTCTTCAACATGACCAGATCCATGTATTTTTGGTTTCAGAGTTTCCTTAGTATTCTGTTTTCCTATATCATTTTGGGATTCTGGAAAGTAAGGTTTTGTCTTTGCTTCTGGAGTGATTTCTGTATGGCTTCCATTTGCTTCAAATTTTCCAGCTTCTCCTTTGAGATATGAGGTAATGGAATCTCTACACTGGTCAGGGCTGTAAAAGAAAATTTGCAAACTTACAATGGTAACGTATGCCTGAATATAGGTTTCAGAAGCTCTAAAGTTTTAAGAACTGTGTTTTTAAACTACTTCCAAAGGCATAAAATAGAACAGTTTGAAAAATGTGGCCACTGGATTTAAAATGTGGCTGGGCGTAGTGGCTCATGCCTGTAATCTTAGCACTTTGGGAGGCTGAGGCAGGCAGATCACGAGGTTAGGAGTTCGAGACCAGCCTGGTCGACATGGCAAAGCCCCATCTCTACTAAAAATAATAAAATTAGCCAGGTGTGGTGGTGCATGCCTGTAATCCCAGCTACTCAGGAGGCTGAGGCAGGAGAATTGCTTGAACTCGAGAGGCGGAGGTTGTAGTGAGCCACTGCACTCCAGCCTAGGTGAGTGCACTCCAGCCTAGGTGACAGAGTGAGACTCTGTCTCAAGATAAATAAAATGTAAGGGGCTCTCAAGGGTGTGGGTGTCAGGAGGTGCTACACAGCTTCTAGACATCCCCCATATCTCAGTTGCCAAATTGCTTAGCCATGCTCTCATCTAAATATTTAAACTGCAGTTCTACAGCTATTTGAATTCTAGCATCTTGACAAATGATCCTGAGAGGTCCACGGACATACCTAGAGTTCTAAGCCCACCAATCTTAAAAAAGAAGATATTTCAGAATGCTTTTCCATCGCCAGTAAACAATAAACTGCTGGCCAGGCTCAGTGGTTCTTGCCTGTATTCCCAGCACTTTGGGAGGCTGAGGCAGAAGGATTCCTTGAGCCCAGGAATTTGAGACTGGTCTGGGTGTGGTGAAACCATGTCTCTACCAACAAAATTCAAAAATTAGCAGGGCAAGGGGGTGCATGCCTGTAGTCCTAGCTACTCGGGAGGGAGAAGTGGGAGGATGGCTTTAGCCTGGGAGGCAGAGGTTGCAGTGAGCAAAGATTGAGCTGCTGTACAAAAAATTGCACCTTGTCTCCCAAAAAGAACAAAATGAATTCCTGTGGTCAAGACTGTGGTATTATCCGAAGAACCCCAAATTCCAATTCTTAGTGTATGTTTTCAGTCATGAATCCTGCCATCACTTTTCCAACTCTAATACCTTTACTTGAATCTCATTTTTCTCTACTCTTGACCTCTGCTAATCTCACAAGTGATTTGAGTGTTGCACACCCTTTTCTACCTACTGAGAGAACTGTTTTTCCCTTAACTAGTAAAACTCTTCCCTGGTCAGGCACAGTGGCTCATACCTGTAATCCCAGCACTTTGGGAGGCCAAGGCGGGTGGATCACCTGAGGTCGGAAGTTCAAGACCAGCCTGACCAACATGGAGAAACCCTTTCTCTACTAAAAATACAAAAAATTAGCCGGGTGGGGTGGCATATGCCTGTAATCCCAGCTACTCTGGAGGCTGAGCCAGGAGAATCACTTGAACCTGGGAGACGGAGGTTGCAGTGAGCAGAGATCACGCCATTGCACTCCAGCCTGGGCAAAAAGAGGGCAACTCTGTCTCAAAAAACAAAAACAAAAAACAAAACAAAAAACCTTTCCTTTCCAATGCTTTCTTTTAAATTGACTTCTAAGTTTTTTACAAGTTTCAGTATAGACTATTTTTCACTTTTTTGTAGCTTATGTATTATTTTTAGCATCTTTGCTTATTACCGCTACTAGGCAATAACTAATACAATGCTTTATATGTATAATATATACTTATGTGTATATGTGTATTCCTTTAAATCAGATTCTGATTATCTGTACTTATTGTTAACAGATATCCATTGCACACTCCATTCTCTCTGTGTAAGGATAAATAATCCAAGTATACTGTGAAGATCCTGTAATATATAGCTTTATGACTTTGGTTTAATTTTCTATTCCCCAGTCCACATTGCTTACCTAAGTTCTCCTACCCTACATATTCTGATAACAGGAGCAAAGTGGCTGGCATTTTCCTCCTTCTATGGAATCAGGGGATTCACTAGTGTTTTTTTCTATATAATTTACTGGCAGAACCTATATAAAATAAGGAATTTCAGCCTGTTTAATAATGAACATCTTTCCTATATCTACTCCCTGACATGTAACTATAAGTTGCATGACTAGATCTGAACATACACATCAAAATTAGTTCTGTTAGTCTTCTTTGGAACTGTCTCTTTTGTACATGGTAGATAGAATTCATTCATGCCTCCGATTTTCAAAACTAGTTTTGTAAACTCCCTCTTTGGGAATTTTTACTGACCAAGAAGTTTATTAATGACATGAAAATTAAAGTTTGGTTATGAAACAATATAAGTTCTCTTGTGTCCATCCAAAGTTTAGCTAGCTGTCACTGAAGTAAAATATATTTTAGTCTAATGTGTATGCAAATAAAAATAATACCTAGTGCTACTGAGAAATTACTATTTGTGTCAGTCATTTGGTAGACATGATACATCCTTTATTTTCTATCTATAAATCTGTTTAAGGAAGGTAGTAGTATTCTTACGTTTAAAGATAATCAGTGACATTCTTAGAGCACAGACATTCATCCAAAATCACAAAGCGCATACTTAATGGTGGTGGGATTTGAACCTATGCCTCAGATTCTACATTCTCACCTTTCTAGAGCAAGGCCAGTATAAGAATTAACCAGATTCATGACCAGGAAATTACTTTGGGTAAAGACAAATGTCTATCATGGCAACATTTGGTATACAAAACCATATACCTGTTTGAAAAACAAGACATGTAGAAAAATAGATGGTTATGTAAAATCAGTTTTTCCTAGTATGGTAGGAGAATGGATGACTTTTCTTTTTGCTTCTCTGCACTTTTTACATTAAGACATTTAAAAAATTGTGCATGGAAGAAAACCCACCAAAATGTTATTGGTAGGTGACAGGGTATATTGATTTGTTTAATCTGCATTTTAAGTGTTATAATGAGCATATTTATGTTTGCAGTTAGGAAAAAACAGAAATATTTACATTTCTAAACAACATGGACTTTCATTCATTATTATTCTTATTTTTTTGAGACGGAGTCTCACTCTGTCACCCAGGCTGGAGTGCAATGGTGTGATCTCAGCTCACTGCAACCTCCACCTTGTGGGTTCAAGCAATTCTTCTGTCTCAGCCTCCTGAGTAGCTGGGATTACAGCCACGTACCAGCACACCTGGCTAATTTTTGTATTTTTAGTAGAGACAGGGTTTCACCATGTTGGCCAGGCTGGTCTCGAACTCCTGGCCTCAGGTGATTGCCTACCTTACTCATTATTTTAAATGAACAATAATTATTGGCTATATTGAAAGAATCATACAAGTAATAAACTAGAAAAGAATAGTCTTCTAAAGTAAAGACAACATCTAAATCTTGGGCATGTATGTAAATTTTCTTGTATTTTATTTCAGCTTCTCAATAGTTTTGAGAATTTAATTTGAATTTAAATTCACTTTCCTTTCCAGATTAGCAGAATGAACTGACCTTTAAAGCAGGTTTTATTCCAGAACTAGAATGGTAATTTAGAAGTCACCGCTAAAAAGCACGTATTTAAGATAAACTCTGAACAAGTAACCTGTGTTTCACTTTCCTTTTCTTGAAACAGCCATACCTGTCATCCAGTCGATCTAGTAACCCACCAGTTACTCTTCGAGCTTGAGCAGGCAATTCTAGGTTTCCACTTGATGTCTCATTCTGCCAACCTGTAATTGAAGACATTTCCAGTTCTGCTTGCTGAACACGCTTAAGAATAGCCTGTACTTTTTCTTCTGTCATCTCCTCAGACTCTACTCCTTCTTCAAGTTGAATGTCCTCAAATAGAGATTTGAGTTTCTCTTCCGTCATCTCCTCATCAGGACCAGATTTTCCTTTCTCCTGCTGTGCAGAGCTTACTCCTAGTTTTCTAGGCTGTGCTGGTTTAACATCTTTTGGGGCCCCAGCCAAATTTCCGAGGTATTGAGGATACTCACTCAGACATACATCCTCCAACTGGCTCTCATCTACATCCACTGCTTCAGGCATTTCTGTTAAAGGCACTGAGTCTTCCAGTTTGCTGTCTTCTAAGGAAGTGTCTTCTGCAGTTACGACTGGAGGTCCATCTGTGGAATGCTCTATGTTCCCCTGGGAAGGCACTAGCCCATCACTCAGTCTACTGGGGGTTCTAAAGGGAGATTCTATGCTAGAGATATCACTAAAATAATCATCTTGCTGCAAAGGGGTAGGTGGTGTGTAGTGCAACCCTGTGGGGGTTTCCAGTTCCACTTGAAGGGAAGGATAACCTATGGAAGACAGTACATTTGGACTGACTGGAATGAATCAGAATACATGAAACAAAAACACATGGAATGACTAAAATTATATCAGACATGAAAATGTATGATGAATTACAGATTAATGTCGATAAATTTATCAGTTTAGTTCAATTAAATGTAACACAATGAAATTAAAAGCCTAGTGCAAACTCCAATAAAATAGAATACCAATTAAGATATCAATTGTTTCTATCAGTTTTGGCAGTTATGATACAATAACTTAAATATGCACACTAATCCAAAGTATGCAGACTAATCCAATATAAAGTTAGTTGTTATTATATGAGATACTTATTATCTTTCTATATTTAGCATGCAAAGTTCATACTGTGGTGGACTGAATACAGCAAGCCACAAGAAACCAATTTTTGTAATTATCTACAACTTATTTTAAGAACTGTACGTAGGAGCAATGCGACCTAGTCCTCCTTTCACACGAAATTTACAGCAAAGAAAAATGGATTTAATCTTTGGAAAGAAATAATAATTAGTTTTAGAGCAGTAGCACTGGGAAAATAAAATTTAAAAAGATGTTAAGAAAAAGATTTAAAAAACAGACCAAGTTTAAAAGACTCCGTGTAGTTTTTGGGTGTTGTACAAAAACAGATATGACCGAGATGAAAAGGTTGTGGTGTACATGAAGGTCTTGGTGAAGTTGGTGGTAGGGTCCACTCAGAACCACAAATCAAATAAAGAGAAATGATACACAACAGAGAGTAGGAAAACCATTTGCATGGAGCACTCTGAATATTCACAACAATGCTATGAAACACAGAGTTTATTAACCAGCCTACACAAAAGGAGATGGGGGAGCTAATCCCTCATTTTAAACATTGCTGTGTGGACTATGGAAGCATTTTTCTGCCTTAGCAGAGAGAAAAGTCAACAATGGTCTGGTCATGGTGAGGAAAGGAAGTTTCATAAAAGTTCAACGAGGAGGAGAGACAGGAAAAAAGCAACAAAGCACAGTTTCTGAATTGTTGGTCTACAAAATGAAAGTCTAATCTTTCCATCAGTCCAAGGTAAATACCAACTTAGCTGCTGTTATAAACTCAAGTTGCTAACTCAACGTTTTTCAGTTATGGTCATCTATAAACCAGACTCTTGAAAAGCTGGCTAAGATTAGCTGAGGTTTATAATCTGCCTAAGTGAAATTACTTCATATACACGTTTCTAAATTTCCCTAAGAAATTTTGAACAAGGAATATAAAAATATTAAGATACAGCAATAAAAAGCCCTTGTGACTGTATTTTAAGGAGATATTCCAATTTTAAAATGTTCAGATTAAATGAAGCTTTCAAGACCATCAACTACTTCTTTAATGTTCTGGTGATCTTTTTTATCAGTTACTTAAAAAATATTTTTCCCAGTAAATAATATTAGAAGAATGTATAAACTATAACTTATCAATAATTTAAAATTTGATATGATTATCTACATTTATCTAGTGCAAAAAACATTTGGTTACCAATACATGGACTTGCATATAAGACATAGCTCAAAGGGAGCATTTTCCCAAGGGTGTAAGGTATTTATAAACCTAAAAAGAACTGCTTTTTACTTCATTACCCATCGTGTTTGTTACATGGATAACAAGTATATTTTAAATTTTTTGTTGACTTAACCTTTTTTTTTTTTTTAAGAGACAGACTATGCTCAGCCAGACAAACTTTTTAATAAGCAGAAACTTTCTAAAAATTTTGAGATATTTTTCCACAAGTTAATTAGAAGTCAGTGACTCTTGTTAGTCTAACTTTGCCAGTTTAAAAATTGCAACAGTAGAAAAAGATTCTTAGTTCCTCTTCCTGCCTCCATACTATGATCAAATTTTCTACTCAAAATTCACTGTAGAGGCTGGCTGGGATGGCTCATGCTTATAATTCCAACACATTGAAAGACCGAAGTGGGTGAATCACTTGAGGTCAGGAGTTCGAGACCAGCCTGGCCAACACGGTGAAACCTTGTCTCTACTAAAAATATGAAAACTTAGCCGGTGTGGTGGTGCACACCTGTAGTCCCACCTACTCGGGAGGCTGAGACAGGAGAATGGCTTGAACCCAAGAGGCAGAGGTTGCAGTGAGCTGAGATCGTGCGATTGCATGCCAGCCTGGGTGACAGTGCAAGACTTTGTCTCAAAAACAAAACAAAAATTTATTGTAGGAATAAATTTTTATTTGTGAAGGTAAGACAGGACTACTTTGAAAAACATAGTATGATATTTATGTTCTTCTTAATACTTCAGTGAAAAGAAGCACCAATTTACATAATGAGGAAAAAGTGACAAGATTATTATATAAATTAAGCTAATGTGAAAGAGGAATCATTATTAGTAACATCTATGCTGGTTGAATTAGAAATCATGCTGCCTTTGATATACAATAGATCAAGTAGTTTTTCCAAAGAATAAATGGCAGCATATGAAGTTAAAATAATGCTAAACAACTAAAGCATTTATTTGTATGATACATCAGTCTTTTTCAGTGCACATTTAAATACTTGGTGCCACAACAGTAAATTGTCATTTTACCTTACAATTTGTATACTACATGCTGACAGTTTACTCAATACCTTGCTTATTTGATAAAAATGGCTCATTTGTTTTACCTATATATTAACAAAAGGAGTAACTAGTTTGGGGGGGTTAATATAAAAATTAAAAGTGACAAAAGCAATCCATTCTCTAGATATTTAACTTTCTCCCATTTGGTCATATGAAATATTAGAAATACCAACTCTTTCAGATACCTTATGCTTTCATACTTCCTGATTTAGATTGTATATAAACAGATATATACCAAGTTTGCTCTGCTATCAGAGTGTTTATTTGCAGACTGTGGCAGAGAAAATACTGTGAAAATGAGAAATTAAGTCAAGCAAATCACAGTTCAGTTGGTTTTAAGTGACTGCCTTGTCTGACTGCACTTTCAAATTTTATCAAATGATTGAATAAATATGAACACTAAATTCAATTACCATCAACAGGGTCATGGAAAACATTGTTCTCATCTGCAAAACTTCTGGTGCCTGAAATATTTCCATAATCAAATATTGGTCCTTCTAGCAGTGTCACTATATCTATTCGATTAATTTTTGTCAAGACCGCAGTTAAGGCATCAGCTGAAAAGGAGAAAAAAGGTTGAAAACCCAATTAAATTCTGTTCTTTCCATCAGCACAATATCTACACAAAGGCATGGCTTTTGCAACCCTCCTGACATTTTAGCTCCTTCTTACTCCATCTCTGCAATCTCCCCATCCAGAGGACTCAGAATGCTCGCTGCTACAGGGAAGATGTCAGAGTCTTAATCATCACTTTGTAAAGCTGTAGATCCGCTATAACAGAGCAGATGGGCCTTAAAATAGCTAGACTCCTTTTAGTTGTAAGGCGCTCTAATAAAACTAAATAGTTTCCTTTCCTCTTAGAATGTCAAAATAGGTCATCCTCATATTTGGTACTTAGCATTTTAATGGCTCTAAGGTCAAGTTGACATAGGCAAACCCACAATAACTTATTCCACATTGTTGTGGGTTGGCATTTGTGAAAATGCAGCACTACCACCCAGTCCCACCAGCCAACAGAACCAAACCCAACAAGAGTAGAGCCAACCAAGTTGAATAAAAGGATTTGCTCTCCTAATTTGATTCTGTCTTCTCTCTCTGCACATCCACCTCCGGCCATAGCGGTAACTTCAGAGTGTTTCTGATGACTGTGTTCCAGAAACTGATATAATAACTAAAATTATTTTTTGAGTCTTGATGGTCACAGAGAGAATGGCAGGCCAAATGCAAAAAAAAATTCCCTGCTACTTGCTTTCCAAAAAGCTTCTGAAGAATAGAAGTTTAAATTGTTAACACTAAATTACACAAGTATAACTTCAAAAGATTTACTATTACCTCATGATCACTCTTATTTTATTTTTCTACATTAAAGATTACAGAAAATTAGAACAATACTTGAATGAACCTAACAGTCAGCTTATCTAAAATATTACATATATGCAATTTTGAAAGTTAAAATAATATAATTTTGGCATACTTGTGGCATTTTTTCCGTCTCTGGTAACCCATTTTTTTAATAACATGAAGCTTTGAGAAATTAAAGAATTGGGGTTTTCCACACGTATTTGATTTATTTCATCCACTGAAAAATTCAGTTCCCTTGCCAGTTCTGTAGAAAAGAAAGAGAGTTACTAAGATTGCATATTCTACTTTTATCATACATTGTTCACAAAAGTAATGCTCAATTGTCACAAAAAGAAAAAGGAATTTTACAGTCAAGCTCAATTGTACAGCCTCGGGCATTAATCTTTATATACTTGGTTTCATAGCAAAGTGGTGACCATACACAGGCTGTGACTTAACTTTCCTTAGATAATGATTTATAATCAGACTTTTTTTAGAGATCTTATAAAGATTTTTGGACTTAGGCTGGGCACAGTGGCCCATATCTATAATCCCAGCACTTCAGGAGGCTGAGGCAGGTGGACTGCTTGTGCCCAGGAGTTTGAGACCAGCCTGGGAAACACGGCAAAACCCCCATCTACACACATACACAACAACAACAACAAAACCCCACAAAAATTAGCCAGGCACAGTGGCGCATGCCTTTGGTCCCAGCTACTCAGGAGGCTGAGTTGGATCACTTAAGCCCAGGAGGTAGGGGTTGCAGTGAGCTGAGACTGTGCCACTGCACTTCAGCCTGGGCAACAGAGTGAGACCCTGTCTCAAAAAAAAAAAAAAGAAAAAGAAAAGACTTTTGGAGTTTACAAAGAGGATATTGCATGATTCTTTTAATTCAGCCAAATTCTCTACAGTTTGAGAAAATTACAAGATAGGGGTATACAATTCATGTATATGGCACAAGAGATGCTGATAGGGTTTGTGCTAACCAACTTTCATGAAGTGTATCTTTTATTTACATAATAATCTACCTTTTATGCCTTGATAAACTCCACACAGGAGGTTATATGATGACTCCAGGCCAGATCATAATATATGATATGAAGCTACTTGATTAAAAATTAAAGGGAGGCAGCTTTCTGTCCATCTACTTGTATATAACATATATACTCGTATATTCAATCTTGTAAACTGTAGCATGTCTTTGAAAAGATACATAAGATCTCAGTATTGGTGGCTGCCTTAGAAGTCAGAGAAGGGAAGGAGACTTAGTTCCCACTGTATTTTTTTTTTGGTATATTAAAACAGTTTATCAAGTGTGTGTTACCTTAAATGATGACAAAAAGTAAGAAATGGGCAAAAATGATCCCATGGGAAAGGAACTGATCAAGACTCTATCCCCCTTACAAAATACTTTCATCAATTTTGTAAAATGCATTTGGAGGCTCAAAAAAATCCATTATCTTTTGACCAAGTGATTCACATTTAGAAATGTACCCTGACAATATATAAAGGTCGTATACAATGATTTATATACATGAATGTTCATTGAAAACAATTCACATGTTGAACAAAAGACTTAATTTAAGGCAGTGGCTTGCAAACAATTGTTTTGATAATTGGCCTACAGGTAAAAATACATTATATATCATGGTGTTTACATAAATAAAACAGATGTCCATGGAGCAAAATTTAGCCTTAATACACGTAATACACAGTACTTTTCTTTTATATAATATTCCATTTAAAAACAAAAACAAAGCATGAACTGATTTCATGACTCATCGAGGCAATGTGAATCACAGTTAGAAAACCACCATCGTAAGGTACATCTATTGGATTTTTTTTTATGCATTAAAACCAAGATCAGAAAATATTTAATTTTGTAGAAAACCACAGTTACAAATAAAAAAGCAGATTACATTATATGTATAACATTATAAAAAGTTCTTATTTTTTTAAAAAAGCACATAAGGTGTTAATAGTGCTTTCGAGGGACAGATGTAAATTTTGTTCTCTTAAATGCTTAATATTCTTAATAATTACCATTGAGCATGCAGTAATTCTAGTTAGAGAAGTTAACTATTTTAAGTTCTTCATCTCTGTATTTTAAGAGACAATACTCCTATTGCGCAACAGGACTTCGTGACAAAACTGTATCCATTGTCTAGAGACTTAATAAAGAGCAAAGACACTGACTTTGCTAAGAATTTTAGGTTTATGGCTTTTTGTCTGGCCATTATGCCACATCTCTAAAAATTTACTGACTGTATTTGCTTAAGGAAAATAATTTAACAGTTCTGAGCATATAATAATGCAAAACAAACATTTGCTCCAATATATTTTCAGATTACAATGTCCAATGTTAAAATATAAATATTAATTAGATATTAGTAAATATTTATACATAACAAATTACTGTTAACTCTCAACTGCCTACAAAACATTACTCAGACCACCTGTCTTTTCATAACTCCACTCAGCTCCTGGTCATGAGCAGTATACCTGAGAGCAGAGACTAGGTTGCTGAAGAGAGGAGGGTTTGATATGGGGTAGTGGTGGTGAGGGTGGATGGGGGCTGAGGGCTTTCCAAGGGAAAAAAAAGAGATGAAATTGCTTTCTATCATCTAGTTTCATATTCTCCCTTTAAACAGATATAACTGTATGGAATGTATGTTGCTAATGGTATGCAAGATGACTTTAAATGTGATGATAATGAATATTTATTACTTGGCCATGCATTAAAAAATATACTTAACCTATAAAACTTAAAATTTCTCAGGTTCATGTGAGGTAGGATTTTGAGGGTCCTGTTAAGCTCAAAATTGCAAATGTAGAATTGTTCAATTGATACAAAATCTCATCAACTTTTATTATTATTATTATTATTATTATTGAGATGGAATCTCACTCTGTCACCTAGGCTGGAATGCAGTGGTATGATCTCGGGTCACTGCAGCCTCCACCTCCTGGGTTCAAGAGATTCTCCTGCCTCTGCCTTCCAAGTACCTGGGATGGCAGGCAAGCGCCCACCATGCGTGGCTAATTTTTGTATTTTTAGTAGAGACAGGGTTTTACCATGTTGGGTATGCTGGTCCTGACCTCAAGTGATCTGCCTGCCTTGGCCTCCCACAGTGCTGGGATTTCAGGCATGAGCTACCATGCCTGGCCATCTTCATCTTTAATGAAACAAAATCAAATATTCCTTTTCTACACACTGATCATAGACAATTTCATTTATTTTATAGAATTCAACTTTTGTGAATTAAATATATTTACATATTTAAAATTTTTTAATTCAAAATTTGAAATGTCATTGTTTTCTTATTTACATAGATATTGCAAATAATCCTTTCCTCTTATCAAAATGATACAGGATTTTTCTTTTAAATAAATATTTGAACATAAAAGTGAGTTTACCTAAAGAAGAGTATCAGGCAAATAAACAAAGTTTTATGTGTATGTCATAAAAACTGTGAAGCGGACTTCACAGTGAATGACTGAAATTTGTGCAACCTAGTCATGGGTTAATTGAACCATTGCCCAGAAAGCTACTTTAAGGACATAAACCATGTGAAAAAATTTGGATTAATTAAAGGCCTTAGCTGTGTTTTTATTTTGTGCTACAAGATAAACTTGCCATTTGGTAAAAGGTTATCCTACACTACAGAATTGCCATTGTGAAGAAAATGCTTAAATTTAAGGTAAAATAAATTTCAACTTCTTAGTGCATATGCGTAGCAAAGGCGTTGGAAAAACACAGTATATAAGGTTCAATCAGTATTTATCTCTGGGTAGGTAAAATTATTGGTGATAAAAATGTTTTTTACTAGTTGCTTGTTTCTGTTTCTAAAATAAATATATTGAACTGCTTGTGAGTAAGACAAAGAAATGAAGAAGCTAATTGGTTTCACTCAGGAGTGTATACACTTACCTGTCCAACTAAGTCCCAGGTGGTCGGCTACTATTGCCATCCTGATATCTGTCCGTTCACATGGACTCTGTGGACCTACGATTTACAATTTCTTAATTAAAATAATCATCAAGAAAGATACGATACTGGAAAATTGCTTTTAGCAGTACGCAGATTTTACAGAGAGACTAATGCTAACACTGTACACTTAAATGTGTCCTAGTCACCTACATGAACACTTCTTTGCACATGGCTCATTTGCTTTTCACCTGCATCAGGCCAAATGTCAGACTACATGGATGCTCAATGTAATGGGATTGAACATGCTGACGAGCTGGCTAGTTTACAACATATTACAGAAGTGTCGTGTTGGTGAAAACACCATGATGGGATTTCAACATCTGTGCTTTAACTTTGACAGAATCATATCCATTAGCACATTAAAAAAAAAAAAGTTTGTTCATCTTGAATGACACCAATATCTTCAGCATGCTTCCCTAGCTGTCTACTGTGTAGTTTGATCAAAAGGCAGAAAGAAGAGTATATACGACAGCACATACAGATGACAATGACAGAATGAGAAACTACGGTTAAGTCACTCCACAGGCAATCACAACAGTTCATGCACTAGGGTCTACGAGTTGGAAAGTGTTTACAAACTATGCTCGTTCTCCAGGATGTGAGCAGAGTGCTCGAGAGACCTGACTGCCTTCATTCTCACCAGTCCTTCTACTGCTCCTTTTCTCACTGCCGGCCTTTTCACTCTTTGATTTTAAAGGTGCTGCCTCTGTTTTCTTATCTCTAGCAGACTTCGTTGTAACTGAAGGCTGGCCACCCCGGGAAGTCTCGGACAACGACGTGTTTCTTGAGGTACTTTCTTCCTCATCGGACAGCTCGGACTGCATCTTTTTGTCTTCTTCAGAGAGGCGGTCCACAAGCTTTAAGGTCTCACCACTAATTCCCTTAAAATATTCAATGGAATGTTTACATACTTCCTTGAGCTGACTTTTCCTAACTTTAACTGTGCTCGTGCTGGTGGTGGTGGTGGTGGTGGTGGTGGTGGAGGTGGAGGTGGAGGTGGTGGTGGCAGTGACACAGGTGGGTCTTACCTTTACTGGCAACTTGGATGGAAGCTGTTTGGCCTTGCCTTTCTCTGGCTGCCCTTGCTTTTGTGTGGCACATGCTTTTCTAACTGCGACTGTGTAATCCCTGTGTGTGTTTTTCACTGGAATTCTGGACTTTACGTCTACACAAGAAGTAGTAGTAAGGCCTTTGGTTTTCTCGGATTGACTAACCTGCTTCGTTTTACTTGCTCTAATGTTTGGCAAATGGTTCGGTGGGAAGGTATCTTTTGGTGAAGTGGCCTTTATGGGAAGTTTGGATTTTTGCCTAATGCCTATCAATTCCTTTGTTTTTTGCTGTTCTCCAAGAACTTTCTGCTTATCCCTTAGACAGTGTCCTTGTAGTACCCCTGTCTTTTTTCCTGATGAGACTTTCACTGGGTTATCTTTCTCTGTGGTACAAGTGGGTGCAGAATGTTCTGTCAGGGCTATATTACTTATCATGTTATCTGTCTGTATAGTGGAAGAATCCAAATTGTTGTTGTTATTAAAGTTATCTTTTTGAAAATCATGTTTTTCATGGGGCCTAACGCCCGTCTGGCTATTGGCTGTATTTGAAATCACTGTTATAGTTTCATTTTCTAATCCCTGACAACTGGTCATCACAGCTTCTATCTTATCTGTTATTTCTCCAGGGCCTTCTTTCTTCATGGTCATGGTGGATGCAGAAATTCCCATTTTTATAGGCGTGCGCAACTTGGGGTCAACTTTAGAGGTGTTAGTGGCTGCTGCTGATTTCTCCAGGGGGCCACTACTGGATGTGCCTTCCTGACACTCTCCGCTGGTCGGGCTGCTGGGGTCAGGTTCCACTGTAGGTGTCTCTACATTTCTCTCTAGATTGGTTTCTACAGTGGTGTCCCCTGACTGTGGCTGTGGTGTGGCAGTGACCATACTTTTATCCCCTTCCCCCTGGTCCCCTGACTTCCCTTCAGAAGTATGCTCACCAATCTGGAAAAATTGGAGCCTCTCTTCAACAAAATCCCTCTTGCTCATGTCAATTGCACCACTGCGAGTCATCTCAAACATTTTTCCTTCATGAAATGGGAAGGGGTTAGGCTCACTAGTTGGGGTACTTTCATCAGTTGGCGTTCTGGCTGGCGTTGTATCAGGGGTTGTTGCTGGAGAGCGGTCTTCTACAGCTAGCCCAAATGGCTTAGTTTCATCTTCCCGTGATTTACTGTCAAAAACTTCATCGTCCCCTCGGTTACTGGACCAAGGGTCAAAATCTAGACCTTTGGTAGCTACTGTTTTAAAAGGAGTGGCAAACTCTTCATCTACTTTGTAACTGAAGTAAGTATCAGGAAACACTGATCGGTCAGGATGTCTGCCTTCCAGTGTGAAGAACTGGGCCCCTGACTTCTGATCAGTCTTATCAGGAGTCTTTTCAGATGAAGAACTTTTAGAAGGTGGCTTGTCTTCATCTGGTCCCACCTTTCCTTCCTCCTCGATAACTTCAAGTTTACTTTGGCTAAAAGAGCGGTCAGCTGGCTTCAGAATGCCCTCTGTGTTCCATATATCTTTCTTAATTTCCAGGGCTTGACTAGGGAGTTTAGAATCGCTCTCTGTTAAGCCATCATCTTCATCTTGCAGGTCATAGCCATCCAGAGAGTCTATCTCTGTGGCATCCGTGTCATGAGAAAACTCCGCTGTGGTGGCAATGGAACACTCTGTGATGGACTGGTCATTGTTCCCATTCTGGGCAGTTTCATTCTGAGGTGAATCAAGGCCAAGGCCAAATTCGTTATCTTTTCCAGATCCGTTACTTTCCAGTTCTTTCTGGTTGGAAGCCTTTTCAGCAGAAGCTTTGGGTTTTTCTTTTTGTTCGTCATCCACTTCCTTTAACTTGAAGGTGTATTTTTTAACTGGGACTGGCTGATAAATAGATTCGTCATCGCTGGAATCACTGACGTCTGCCCCGGGAGGAACTGGTGAAGGTGGCTGTACTCTAATGACAGGTTCAGCCAGCTGGTACTTGTCATGCTCATCTTGCAGATTGACTTCAATCATGTCAACCTCTTTTTCTGGGAGATAATGATGCTTCTTATCTGACTCAATCTGGTCTGCATCCAGTGGTGGAGGAGGGGGAAATTCAATATAGGCAACTCTGTTACTTTTGGGTCTTTGGTTAGAGTCTTTGCTCACGTCATTAGGCATTTCACGCTCGACTGCTATCTCCTCCACTGTAGCCTGCTTTAGGGAGGCTGACTTGGCCTGTTCCTCCTCCTCTGACTCCTCAGAAACCTCGGGAATTGGGCTGGGTTTGCCTGGTATATAAGCTATGAGCGAGTCAGGTGTCTTAGATGTAAATTCATAACTCACTTCCTCTGAACTGGGTGTTTCTGGGGTTAAAGGGCTTTTCCCAGAGCTGTCTAGAAAGGATACTTGCTCTAGAGTATCATCTTCTGGGCTACCTTGGGGAGAAGGAGGTTGCTTTTGCTGTCTGGTTGTATAAAAGGTCCCCCTGGTTTCTTGTACTGTCTTACATTCCTGACTTATGATTTTTTTTACACTTCCTTGTTGTATCTCCTTTTCATATTGCTTCCCCACTTGTACAAAACTGACATAAACGGGTAAAGTTTTTATCTCTTTCCCTCCCTCTGTCTGGGCTAGTGGTGCGAGTTTTTCCAATCCGTCAATGGGACTATGGTCGAATACATCACTAGAGGGAGATTCCCTTCCTGGGCTAAACTCTAAAGAATCAGGAGATTTGGTGGGCGAGGTTTCAGTTTCCTCGAGAGGTGGGCATAAACCTACATAACTCTGGTGTTTGGAAACTTTGCTGATTTCTGAATAGGTAACTTTTTCATCCTCTATAGAATTAAAGTGCTGTGTCTCAACTGTCTCTTTACTCATGCTTGACTGGGACAACTTTTGTGATAGTTCATGTTTTGGAAATGCCGACTGTTCACAGAAACCATCGGGAATATTAGAAGACAGCATTCTCCTCTCATCAGCAACTCTGACGGGAATGTGTGACACTGCTGAGCTCTCGCTCCTCCTGCAAGGCTGATCAAGCAATCCAGCTGGATGGTCCCCTTCTTTCACAACATATTCCCTATATAAGACTTTTTTGGAGGGAGATTTTACAGTCATTTCTTTAATTTCTGAGAGAGAGCCATTTGTTAACAATCTGTGTTCTCTCTCAGTCACAGACATAAATTCATTCTTTTCATCAACACTTTTACTCTCAGGGTGACCAATGTGATTTTCTCTTACATCATGAACAAGTACATGTGAAAGTTTTTCTTTCTGAGACTTATTGTTAGTGGCTCCCGAACTCTCCCATGTTCTAAAGACCTTTTTGTCCCATGGTCCCCTAGTTGCTAAATCTGAGGTTATATGACATGCCAAGTCTTTAGCCTGCTGCTCAGAAAAAGAGTCAGGCATTGCTTTACTTGACATTTCAGTTCTCTGTTTTTTCACATTATCAGAGCCAGAATCATTTACAACAATTTCGTTGCTCTGGGCATGCTCATCTTTGGCTTTTAATACCATGAAATCTTTTTGCACAGATACACTTTCATCTGGGAGGTCTATGGCCTTCTGCTGTTTTTCTCTAGCAAAAACTTGGTAGACGGGTAGCTTGCTCTCCTGTATTTTTTTAACTGGGATTCTGGACTGGCCATCTGACTTTCTGTCTTCTTGAGACATGTCTTTACTTTTTGCATGTGCGCCTTGTTCAAATTTTAATCTAATGGAACTGAGTTTAGATTGTTTGAGCTGGAATCCAGACTGGGGCCCATCTGGTGCTTTGCTCTGTGAAATACTTCCTTTGGCTTCCACTGTGGACTTGCTGTCCTCAGTCTGTTGGGAGAGAGCCGTCTTCTCTGGGCTGCTGGGCAGACTGGATGCCTTCTCCTCGGCCTTGGGGAAGCCTTGTCCATCAGGGCCATGCTGTCTTGCCTTAACCCATTCATCACTGGATGCCAGCAGTTCTGTCAGCAGTACTTTCTCAGGGCTGCTACTGGTAGAGCTTTGAGAAGAATATTCTTTGCCATTTTTAGGGCGTGCCTTTTTCTCTGGGGATTGCAGTTCATCATTTAGCTTTTCAGTTTTGTCACGAAAAAACTGTGACACTTCAGTCAGTTTTTCTTCTGCCTCCTTCACAGTCCTGTCCACCCTATCTTCATATATCAACTTCTCTCTACCTCTGTCTAATCTGTCCTCAGTAAAGCGCATCCACATGGCATGTTTTGGACTACTAACATTGCCAGAATAGTGCAACACTGTGACTTTATCAAAATGCTCATCTTTAGACACTTTACCTACACCATTTTCAGAAACATCTTTATAGATTTTGGAGAGAATTTCTTTTTTGGGGGCAGTGGCTACTTTTTCTCTGGACCGCTTATCAGACCCCTGTAACTCTGAGCTAGGGGGTCCTGCATGGTCTGTAACCGACTCCTCAGTATCAGAATGAGACACATCTAGCTTCTCTGACAGAAGCATTTTCTCAGCAAACCTGTAAGACTCCCCTCTTAGTTCTGACAACTCATCGTCATGGTATTCTATTGAGTGTTGACTCAAAAGCTTCAATGTTTTATAAGAGTCATCAGATATGAGCTGAGCAGAACTAGGGCGGCTATCTTCTTCTTGGGACACAGGAGTGTTTACCCTGGAAGACTCCAGATAAGAAGGCAATGACTCTTCAGCAGTAAGTTCTTCTTCTTCTTGCTGACCCTGTTCCTCTGAACAAGGAAAAGCATCGTGTTTTTCTGGCAGAAAATCTTTTAGGTTAATATCTCCCCGGGATAAGTCTTTCTGATATACATACATTTCTTTTTCTGGATGCTTTTTGGTTTCTCTAATAATGACTTCAGTGGGCTCAGCTTGGTTACCTTTTTCGATGTGGACTTCTATTATACGCTCCAGTTTGGGTTTCATTTGGTTGTCCTTCTCTGCATGCTGGGCTGAGGTTTCAGCAGCAGACTTGTGAACGTCTGGAGACACTGCCGACTTATGTTCAAACAGACCTGCCAGCTCTTTGGAAGGATCCCGCCCGGACTGAAAGGCCTTCATGATGTCATGGACTGACATGGTTTCTTCAATTCTTTCAGATGTACCTTCACCGCCTGGTGGAGAATGATAAACCATTCTGGTGGTTGTGGTTATGTGAGTCTCTTCTTTAACACGCATGCCTTTGCTTAAGGCCCGATTGTGGTCGTCTTCTTCGCCACTGGCTTTCATTTGAAATGCTTTAACTTTTTCTTTAATACTAGAGGTGGTGGGCTTTGGTTCCAATTCCATAAATGTGGGTGAAGGTTTAGGTGACACAGGCTCCTCTGGTTGGGTCTGGGGAACATCCCCAGCTGAGGGCTCATAGCTCCGGATGACGTGAACCACTTCAGTTCTTGTTTCTGTAATGACAGGAGGGATGGGAACTTCATGAAAAAGTGGTTTGGGACCCGTGCTTTCAGCGCTTTGCGGGGCTGAAGGTGTCTTTTCACTTCTTGTTTCAAAGCCACTGTCAGACAAGGGACTTTTATCTTGGTCATGTTGAGAAAAGTCATCGGGAGACTCTAAAATAGTATCTGTTCCAAAAAAGGAATCGGCCATTTTACACAATTCTTTCTCAGAGGTGGAGGGCCTCATGGAGGCTGGAGGCATTTTGAGTTTGTGTTCCTGCAATGCAATTGCTGGTTTTAAGACTCTTTTCTGTCTCTCCTCACCATCCTTCTTTGCATCCTCAAACTTGTATTTTAAGTTTGTCAGTGAACTACTCCCAATGTCATTTGTTAGGTAATCAATAACTTTGGTCAAGTTATAATCCTTTTCGGAGGCGGCCTTTGCTTTTACTTGCACCCTCTCCGGCAGAGGTGGAGAATGGCTGGCGGCAGCCTGCTGTCTCGCTTCTCGGATTTCTTCAGAACTAAATTCTGTCCAGTCATCTTCGGGAGAGTGTCCTTTGTCACTCTTTGGTGATTTGGGTGATCCTTTACTATCTACACACACATCCTTTTTAAGGATTTCACTAACTTTCACTAAGTCTTCCTTTACTTTCTCAACAATTTTGAAAGGTTCTTCATCATCAATTCTCCCTTCTTTTGGGAGTTCCGGTTGGAATGGCTTCTCCTCAGGCACATCTGTCTGTAGGATTGCGGTCATCCGCATTAGGTCCTCTTTCATTTCGGCCACGTCTTTTAGTATTTCCTGACTGGAAGATAAAGAAGATGGTGTAGACAACTTAAGGGCAGAGGGTGCAAGGAACAAAGATGATTTAACTGGAGATGAAGTTCGACTGAAATGAGGCTGAGGACGTGTCTCCGTAGTCAATGTTTTAATGGGTGACAGCAAGGCTGCTGCTGATTTTGTAAATGAATTAGAGTCTGGAAGTTTCTTTAATGCTGGTTCTGGCAAAACATTGACTACAGAGTATACTGGCACTGTTATAATTGATGAAGTTACAGATGAGGTAGTTGCAGAGATTGACGACCCAAGGGATGTGTAGAGTGCACTTGCGGAAGGAGTTCTTAAAGACTGAAAAGCTGATGGTGCTGCAGAAACGTAAGACCTGAGTGGGGAAAATGGCATTGCAGTCGTGGTAGAAAACACTTTCTCAACTGTGTCAGCGGCTGCATTGACCACAGAGCTCACAGAGTTTGTAGCTGTAGAAATTTTTTCCTGTAACGTGGCAGTGGCTTTGCATCCGTTAATTAAAGTTGAAGATGATGGATATTTTAGGGGGGAAATAGATCCATTGACTAGTGCTACCTCTGCATGTCCAGGCATCTGCTTCACAGGTGATGAGAGGGAAGACGCCATTGTAACTTTGGCTGATGAAATGGCATCAACTGCTGATTTAACTGGAGACACCACTGACTTTAAAGGTGAGGATATTAGCGGTGCTGCTGATGTAATAATTGACTTAAATGGCAAACTTGAGGAATACATATTAATGTTTGATTTGGGGGAGGCAGGGGGTGTCATAGTAATTGATGACCTCTCCAAAAGAGACCCTGCTGTAGTCACTGGAGAGGTTCGAGAGGAAAACGTAGAATTGGATGCCAGCCCTTTTAAGGGCGTAGCTTCCGTGACTGCGGGAGCTCTAGCCAGGGTACCAGAGGAAACTTGGATATTGTATGGAGATTGTGACACCACAGTTTTTATCGGCGAAGAAATTGTCCGAAAGGATCTAATTGGAGATGCCACGTCACTAATGGATTTAACTGAAGATGTAGTTGATGCGCCTAATGTGGATTTGATTGGAGAAGGAGTCGAAACAGACCATATTGATTTTAACGGAGAAGCTGATGGCGTATTAGAGGAAGAACTTGATAAGGAAGTGAAGCCTGACTTGGCTGGCCCGGGCACTGTAATCGGAGCTGTTGTCCAGGACTGGTATGGTCTTGTAGAAAAGAATGGCTTGTATGAGTAAGTGGTGGGGAGGGATCTTGTTGCTCCTGTACTCCGTTCAACTGTTTCTTAAATTTTAAAATGAAATCAAACACAAAAATCAACAAAAATGGTTGAGAAACAGAGAGACCAGAGAAAAAAATTGGTCAGTAAACTTTGAAATATTACAAAAGCAAGTACAATTGTTTGCATGATTTAGAATGGAAGAGGCAAAAGGAACAATTAAGAGGAAAAATAAATTTCTACAGACATAACTAATCCGGTTAAGAAAAAAACAACTAACTAAATAAAAAACAGAGTAATGTGAAATGAAAAGCACATTGCAACTGAAGAGGCAAACAATGAAAAACAGAAAACGTAAGGAAAGAATTAATGATGAGAAAAATAACCACAATGGAAAACTGTTCCCTACTTCCTATTGACTTTCTTATGTGTTGGTTTTGAAATATCAGTAGCCGTTCTATTTTGCCTGTATAGGTACATGTTTGTTTCGTGCAACCATACAACTTTCATTTTAGTAATTTCTAATGTCCTCTCTCTCCTTTAGCCTTTCCATAAAGCAGATTGCACCTACTTAGAACCATTTCAATATATGTAGCTGTACATTAAATATCTAAAACTTTTTTCAAAAACCACTCAAGCCTATTTCATGCAGGATCCAAAATAAGTTTTAAGTGACAGGCGACTGCTGTGCAAACTGTGAAGCCACTGGATTTTAAATCTGTCTCTCCCATGCACAGTTCGGTTATGCTTTACACCCATAAAAAGCCAATAAGAGCAAGAAGTTTTCTGAGTCAGAATTTTAAACAAAAAAACAAAGAAAAGGAATGTTTGCATTTATCTTTTCCATGCAGTATATTCCTTTTGATGAGGGGGAAAGAAAACGTAGTATGGAATGACTTTAAAATGCACATGTACATACACACACACAAAGGAAAAAAAAACAAAATATGGTTCATGGTTACCATAAGCAAGCAAAGCAACTGAAAACATTTTATCATGCACATTATATCATGGCAAACAAGCCAATGAAGTAATACAATTTGTATGCCATATTATGCAAAATATTTAAACTTTAAAGATACTTTCACAAGGGCATTTAGAAAGAAGAGTACACTTTTTCCATGAGATATGAAGTCTTGGTACCTTTTGAGATTTTAGGAAAATGTTTTCTACTGCACATTATAAAATCACCTGCAACTGAACAGTTCCATGTCTGTAACTGTCTTCATTGTGTTTTGATAAAAGCATATAGTTTATCAAAGATATTTTTTCATAACCTATTCTACATTTAATTCTCAAAAGCTATCATGGGGGACATCTAAAAAGTGCATTCATATTTTTAACACCCCATATTTAAGTACCTACAGGTTATGGGGGTGTGTGTATATATGTTTATCAATTTCAAAGGTACCAATTCTGGTGCCTTCCCATAATATTCATGGGACGCATGGATATCACAAACACTGAAGCAGTCATGAGGCACACCTACCACTAGGAAGAATGGATATTGTAATACCAAGCATTTCTTCTGGCAATGGAGCAAGAAACACACAAATGAAGTACGCACACTTGCTGGGGAGTGAAAACACATACTTAGTCCTCTCTGCTTCTGCAACTCAAACAAACCTAGCTAGTCACAGAGATTTGCAAGGCCTGCTAAGGGCTAATGTTTTACATCAAAACTGAGCAGTTTTCCTCCAAGAAAGCCCTGGTTCAGAATAGTCAAAGTCAAAGAGAAAAGGAGAATCTGCTTCAGTTTTTATGTTCTTCTTGATGCTGTGCCCGTGCAATTGCTACAATCCAGTCTATGGATTAGCAGCTACTCCCACAAGGGTGAAGATGTTCATTCCTAGTGGACATTTAAATTCAAACATCCAGAACATACCATTTCCTAGGCTTACGTATTACTCTAAAGAAAGTGGAAGCACTAAGGAAAAACTTGCCTATTCATTACCCCTCCTTGCCATAATTCTCAATATTATACGGCTTCACTTTTTTGAAAATGCCACGCAGCAAATGGAATGTTCACGGATCCCTTCAATTCAACGATTTGAGCTTAATCTGTGTCTCATAAGCATTTATTTTTGTAACTATCAGAAACTGACAAAGCATCTATCCTTCACCACTGAAGGGTGGTTCTATCAGGCAAAGAAGTCTTTTGAACCATGTCTCTGGTTTTATATTTTGCAAGGAACAACCAATCTATCAATCAGTTACACATTTTGTGCTTTAATGACATATATTTTGGGATCCCTTTACAAGAAGGAATTTCTGGATGTCAGGTACTGAACTAATCCAGAATCTTTTTTTCTGGGGGGAAGGGGTTGGAAAAGGGCAGTGTGGTGAGGGAAAAGTGACACTCACTTGGAGTACCTATTACACCACTTTTGAGACTTAGTTTTCTTTTAGTCACTTCTTATTCCTATTAATTCCCCTGTTTACCACCCTTATGTACCTTTTCATAAAAGTTCCCTCCTCTTCTACCAAAAGTCCAGGAACACAAGCTGCACCCACCTTAGCTGTATCTAACCAATAACACTATCATAAGTGGGAAGCATTCAATTGACTTAGCCTTAGCGACCAGAATCAGATGGAAACTCGCCTGTCTGAAGGGGCCTCCAACCTAAAGTAGCTGGTCCACTGAGCCTGTCCAAAGCTTAAGGATGTTGCTTGGAGGGTCCCACCCAACTACCTACTGAGGATCTCTAGGGCAAAACAGTATGCCAAAGAAAACCTCCCCATGGTGTTTAGCTCCACTGGAAACCATCTAGCTACACACACACACACACACGCACACACACACAGACACCCCTCTTCTGCTCTGCAGCATAATGTGAGTTAATGGCAGCCCTTATGTTTCTGGGAGGATTTAGACATTTCTGCTAGTGGAGAACTGAGATCTGAGGGAACATTCTTGAACATGGTAGCCTTCTTTCATTTCTCTTATATTCTTCATTTTGTATTTGAATATCAAACTTCCCTCACAGTCAAGGAGCTAGGCCCCAGAAGATGATGCTAAGACCATCTCAACTGAGTAGTGCAGTATTGTCCTGTAGCAGACCTATGTGCTCTGTTGTTGGCCCACGGAAACAAGACTTCAGAAAAGGAGGGAAAAGCCAAAGTTGTGACTCTTACTGGCAAATTTCCAGACCTCCTTGAACTTAAGAAACTGTGTCAATGGGAAACAGCAACAGCCAGGCATGACTCACTCATTTAAAAATAAATTTTGTATAATTTCCCCTCACTTAGAATGAGGAGAATAAAGTAGCACCAATATGTCAGTCAAGTACAGTGCTGTGCTCAGTACTCCTAGCTCCTGCTAGTGGAGGGAGTCATCTTGAGGACTGTAGAGGTCACCAGAGGTGATGATTATAAGGATGAGGGAAGGAAGGGAAGAGGAGGCAGACAGAAAGAGAGAATATATAAATGGATATGGTTGAATGAATCTGTATCTTGGTTAGTGCCTTCCAGCTAACCAGCTAACAGTGAACCAAAACAATCACTGAGAAAAGAAGTGTCTATCTAACCAGTCTAATGAAGACCAGCCTTAGAACTGATATTTTAATAAAGGCCAGGAAGAGAGGAAGTGAGAGCGAGGGAGCGAGGAAAGAAGAAATCTGTAAACAAGTGCTACCTCAAGAAGGTAAGGAAATGTGATTCTTGCAAAGTGGGAAGAAAAAGAATCGGGATTAGGATATGACAACCTATCTATAGGGAGAAAAATGAGATGACAAAGTAACTTTATCATTCTTTCTACTATTCCAAATATGTGAGTAAATTTTTTTCATCTGAGCATAGATCTAAAGCAACATTCATATTTATTTCCTAGCATAGTTAACAAAGTAAAAATCAGGGTTTTAAAGGAAAAGTAATAGATGTTTCTAATTTAAAAATAGTGAATGGCTTTAAAAGCTAATTTGAAATATGAGCTAGGGGTGTTTTTACTTCACATTTTCAACTGTGTACAAAATATATTACCTAAGTTATGTGACAGAGTTTTCCTGCAGACATTTTTTTTTGCCTTTGAGTTTCCAAATGATAAAATTTAGTTTGTATAGAAAAAATGTCTCTTCTTATGAAAATCCACATAGATTAATAAATGTGTTAGAAAACTCACTCATTCCAGGCTCAGTCAAGTAGCTGTAGCGCTTACGTAAAGCTAAGGATGCGAAGCTCTGTCGTCTATCTGTTTTCTCAATCTGAAAAAGAAAAAAAAAAAAAGGCAACTCTATTTCCAACTTCCCTGTGACATCTTCACAGTTTTAAAACATTTTGTAAGATGGCATGTTGATAACTTGTTTATTTTTCCTCTTAGGAAATGTTAATTTCCTACTGGGATTCTATAACCCCACCCCACCCCCGTGTCTTAACCAAAATATCATCATTTGGCAAATTTAAGAGCACCAACACAGCAGACTACAGGGAAGTACAAGTAAAAGACAAGCATTACAGAGACTTCTGATGCTGAGCAGTAAATTTTCCTGGATCTGTTCATATTGAAAGCACATATATCACAAAATACACTCACTCTATGTGAGTACATTCAAGGGAGAAAGGCACACAAAGTTTATTATTCCAATTACTGCTGGGTTTTCTGTATGTTAATAGGCATAAATTGTAGATGAGGAGATTGAAAACAGATTAATGGTTGGTTTTGTTAGAAATACTATTTTTTTGTTGTTGTTTAGTTTTTTGTTTTTTTGTTTTTTAAGACAGATTCTCACTCCTGTCGCCTCGGCTGGAGTGCAGTGGCATGATCTTGGCTCACTGCAACCTCCACCTCCTGGGTTCAAGCCATTCTCCTGCCTCAGCCTCCCAAGTCGCTGGGATTACAGACATGCACCAGCATGCCCAGCTAATTTTTGAATTTTCAGTAGAGACACGGTTTCGCTATGTTGGCTAGGCTGGTGTTGAACTCCTGACCTCAGTTGATTCCCCTACCTTGGCCTCCCAAAGTGCTAGGATTACAGGGGTAAGCCACCATGCCTGGCCAGAGGTACTATTACTGAGTCCTAAGGCTACTTGATTCTATTTATTGCTATTGGTGTGTGGGTTTTAAAATTCTAATTATCATATAACTTAGAGAAACATTAGGAGACAATTTAATTGAGCTACATTCTTTTAAAAAAATGGTCAAGATAAATTTCTTTAGTGAGAATATCAACGATTTATCAATAGCTAGTGAGGAAATATTTTGTATTACATACAACTAAGTTTGTACAATAAAATTTCACATATTAAACATGATCCTTATTTAAATTTATAACACACTGGATAGTATGATATAGTTGATAGTGAAATAGGCACATGAAACTTTTTTTTTTTTGAGACAGTGTCTCACTCTGTCACCCAGGTTGGAGTACAGTGGTGTGATCTCGGCTCACTGCAAACCCTGCCGCCTGGGTTCAAGCCATTCTCCTGCCTCAGCCTCTGAGTAGCTGGGATTACAGGCACCTGCCACTGTGCCCGGCTAATTTTTGTATTTTTAGTAGAGACAGGGTTTCACCATCTTGGTTAGGCTGGTCTTGAACTCCTGACCTCGTGATCCACCTGCCTCAGCCTCCCAAAGTGCTAGGATTACAGGCGTGAGACACTGTGCCCGGCTGAAACTTTTACAAAATGTCTATTTGGCTGGTCTGAAGGTAGTGAGTTATCTCAGTTGACTGTTCACAGTCAGTCATAGATAGAACTTCCTGGTCCTACTCTTTCCCCCTTTCTCACGATTGCATTTGACTTGTCTAAAAAACATTTTAATGTTTATTTATACATGCCAATCTATCATATTTTAAAATGTTTAAAGAACTTCAGTTTTTAAATCATTAGCTGAATTATAATTTTGTTGAATATAATGAAGTACTCTTAATTACGTGTGGAAGAAGAGTCAACCATTTAAAAATATATGTATACCCTTTTCTCTTAAGATCTGCACAAATATAATTTATGTTTCCCACACTTCAGCCCTCTGCAACTTCTGTCATACAGATTCAATTTCTATTCTACTTCTGATAGAATAAAAGCAGAAGTGTTCATATTACCTCATCATCTTGATCTGACTCTGTCTCCTTTTGGTTCCAAGATGCATTGCAGAGACAAGGAATATTATAATGGACAGCAGGGAAAAGAATATCAGGATATGAAAAGGACTGAGTAGGGAGCACAAATGCGAGCTGATTTAGAAAGCAAAGCAAATTAAAAAAAAGCCAACAAAAAAATATCAAGAACTGTACATCCATGGCAAATTAACATATGACGTCATTTGAAAGCATAAAAATCTGTGCACTATCAGCAGAAGCAAAAGCGGTAAACAGAGAGGACTCCATCATACAAACTCTAAGAATTTGACACCACAGTAACAAGACTTATGCAATCTACACAAGGAGACTAACAAAACTTCAGTTTCAAGAACTTTATCCATGTTACAAAGCATTCCTTAATTGCATACCAAAGGCCCACTTCTTCAAGACCAGGGAAACACAGTTAAAATAAAGCAGTATTAAAAGATACCTTTTTATGTGCTGGCAGAGTGATATTTAAGTTGCAAACAGCTGTTTGAGGCAGTCCTTTTGTTGTCTTTGGTTCTTTCAGAAAGGACAGACGACCACAGGGCTCTTGGCTGGTGTCTCTAATCTAGAAAAGTTTTGGTAGTTGATAGTTACAGAATGAGACCTACTGAGGATTTTTAACTGTATAGGAGTTAAACATGTTTGTTGTATCAAGCCCTGTGAGAGGCAGGAAAGGTAAAGGGAAAAGATGATAACAATTATGTGTCAACCTGAACTCAACAAGAATTAGATGCCCAATTCCTAACCGTGGGATTGTTGTGTCTGATGATCTAATCTTGAGAATTCAAAGTATAGCCTGAGTTATGTGCATTTTCCTTCTGTCTAACAGGTTTTTGTTTTGTTTTGGTTTGTTTTTCTGAAAGCTTAAGCTTTTGCAACAGGAACAGCAAATAATAACAATAAAACAATTGTCCTATCTTCTTCTGTACTTAGAGAAAGATGATGATCCCTCTAGAATGTCCCTTGGCTCCACCAGAAATTAAAATGAAACTTGAATACTGAATTTGAATTTCATCCATTATTTGATTACTGAACATTAACCAGAAATAATACATTTTATTACTCTAGATTATTTGGTTTTACAAATGTTTGCGTAAACATAAATGTTATTAAACTCTAAAAAATAAAGATCCTTTTTACCAGTTATAAAGCATTAGTGGCTAAAAGTATACTCTGGTAGAACTAGAACAAAATTTGACCTTAGGAGTTCAGATTTGATGGGGTATTTCAAACTAAATAAATCATTAAAACCTTTTATTTTCTGAGCATTTTTTGCCCCATAATTCACAGATTCTCTGTTGAAGATGATTTACCTTGATGGAAAATGGCAGTCTATTTTCTTTGAAAGCATAAAAGTTAAAAACGAGTTGCTGTCCTCCTTTGGTAAGTGGGGCCAAATTTCCATAACAATCAACATAAATAGGTTTTCCTTCCAGAACCTTTTAGAGTAAAAGAAATAAATAATTTAATGTTAATCTGAATTTGAAATATTTTCAGATTTTATATAACATTAAGAGACTGACATGTTACTATGTCACATTTGTCTAGTAAGCAGTTACTTCTGTGGTGCTATTTTCAATAAAAATAATGCTGTGTGCTTACAATTCACCAATTGTAATTGGAATCCATATCATGGACATATACAGAACGGAATTATACACTTATTTTTATTCTGGCAATTTTAAAAATATTTAAGAATGTGACTGACATCAATCACTTATTCATATAGATTTTAAAAACTTCTTTTTTTTTTTTTGGACTCTTAGATACTTACATGATCACTGGGTTTGAAAAAGAAAAATCAATGTGTGAACAGTCATTCTGAAAAGTGGGTAACTCAAGTGGCCACAAGTAAATGGAGACCATTAACTTAGATTTATTAGTACTACGTTTTAACCAGCTAAGACAACCCCAAAAACACTTAAAATAATTTGAGTATAGGCCAGACGTGGTGGCTCACACATCTAATCCCAGGGCTTTGGGAGACCAAGGCAGCTGGATCATGAGGTCAGGAGTTCAAGATCAGCCTGGCCAACACAGTGAAACTCTGTCTCTACTAAAAATACAAAAAATTAGCCAGGCACAGTGGCAGGCACCTGTAATCCCAGCGTGGGAGGCTGAGGCAGGAGAATCCCTTGAACCCAAGAGGCAGAGGTTACAGTGAGCAGAGACTGCACAACTGCACTCCAGCCTGGGCAACATAGCGAGACTCCATCTCAAAAATGATAATAATAATTGGAGTATTCATCTGTATCAAATTTTTTAAAGTAAAAGTAAAATCAATAATGTACTTGCTATTATACAGTGAGTGGTATTATGGCCACAAAATAAAACTCCATATCTGGGGTAAGTAATGAACTTGTTTTTGTGAACAAGGTACCTCAATATCTTTGCTTCTTGCGACTTCCTCAAAATTCTCTTGCTGCTCTAAAGTTTTGTCCACTTTGTCATCTGTCATGCAGAAACATCTCAAGGAAGATTCTACAGGATCATTCATTTTGGCAAAAACAACAAACTTGGCCATATATGGAACACATATCAATTCTCTGTATAGTTGCGTGGCTAACCCCACAGTTTCTAAAACTTGATGGCAGTCTGCAAGCCAAAATCTAAGCAAAACAAAAAACAGAAGTGTGAAAATGTGGCTATTTAAAAGCCAAATTATAAAAAATTTCACAATTTGAAAACTCAGAATATATAAAGGAACTAACCCAAAAGATTATTAACTTCTTCATTTAAATAGCAAAGATTTTTTTTTTCCCATTTGTCGAACACAGAAACCCTGTGTCTGTTATTTGAGGATAACTTTGATAAGCAAATACTAAGGATTTTTTTTCTCACAACAATTTTTTGAGTATTGAACACAACAATTTTTACTTTCCAAAAGGTTATAACAACTAATTCCTTACTGCTTTTTGGAATCCTTTATTTCCATACCTGGCTGAAACATTGGTTGTAAAAGACACACAATCTTTTATAAACGTCAAAGGAGTTGTTCCTGTGATGTCTTCCCACTGAGCAGGCGAAGTGCCCCCTGAGAGAACAACAGCAGATATGTTGACTTTATCATGGGAGATGTTCCTTGTAAAATTTTAATCATATCATTTTCTTCTTTCTGCATAGCCATAAACTGGCAAAACTTCAACACCTTCAATTTAACAGTGTGTACTAAAGCTGGTTTTCCTCTCTACTCTCCTTTTATGCTTTTACCAGGCTTATTGTGATTTCCTTATACGATGTTATTTTTAAAAAAAAATTCCTTATTTTTTGTCTGGGTACTAATGAATGGCTTAAACTTGGGGCAGACACAATTTATAAGTGTATTTTATAAATGCAATTTGTAAGTACAAAGCTTTGTTGTTTCAGATGGATAATTAAGTCTTTTACTTTTTTTTTTTTTTTGAAATGGAGTCTTGCTCTGACACCAGGATGGAGTGCAGTGGTGCGATCTTGGCTCACTGCAACCTCTGCCTCCTGGGTTCAAGCGATTCTCCTGCCTTACCCTCCTGAGTAGGTAGCTGGGACTACAGGTGTGCACCACCACACCCAGCTAATTTTTGTATTTTTAGTAGAGACAGGGTTTCACTATGTTGGTCAGAACGGTCTCAATCTCTTGACCTCATGATCTGCCGCCTCAGCCTCCCAAAGTGCTAGGATTACAGGCGTAAGCCACTGTGCCCTGCCTCTTGCTCTTTTGAAAGGTAAGAAGTACTCAAGTTAAGAAACATCTCATTCTGTACATGGCTGCACCAATTAATTACCTAGGATAAAAAGGGGCATCAGCCATTAAAATTCCTCCTCAGAAAACAAAAACAAAACCTATCTTTAATAATCTTGGGCTTGCAGTTAAAGATTGGATTAGGATAATCAAAGGATGAATTGAGCTCTGGATTCAAGGTGCTTATCACAAAATGTGTTCTGAGCCCTGAATGTTTAAACTCTAGGATTACACTGGTGAGTAGAGTAGGAGAGAAAAACCATGTACTCAACATTTTCCTGTTACTAGTGCTCTGCGGGACATGTATTTCTCCCAAAGTCCACCCAATTTCCTTGTAGTTTAAAGCATGCTGCTAGGTCCATTACATCTACCTAGGTCACCAAGAAATTACCTAGATTGAATCAGAAATTACCCAGATGCTCCAGTAGATTCAGTGATACTTCTAACTAATGCAAACCTTAATCACAGGAAAGATACTCTCACTAAATTTTAAATAAGTCATGAGACCAGGATCTTAAAGAAATTATCAGCTGGCGCAGTTGCTCACGTCTATAATCCCAGCACTTTGGGAGGCCGAGACGGGTGGATCACGAGGTCAAGAGATCGAGGCCATCCTGGTCAACATGGTGAAACCCTGTCTCTACTAAAAATACAAAAATTAGCTGAGCATGGTGGCGCACGCCTGTAGTCCCAGTTACTCGGGAGGCTGAGGCAGGAGAATTGCCTGAACCCAGGAGGCGGAGGTTGCGGTGAGCCGAGATCACACCATTGCACTCCAGCCTGGGTAACAAGAGCGAAACTCCGTCTCAATAAAAAAGAAAGAAATTATCCTGGGGAAACCAGAGATGAGGTGATGGACAAGTAAAATGTTTTGTTCTTTGATTTTCTCTTATAATGTTGGCATGGATATTTCAAAGATTTTATGTCTTTGTACAGAATCTCTGTGAATCAACAGGAAGTACAGCAGTGACTTAACCAAACCTGTAATGCTACAGAGGAGACGAAGATTGGGTGTGGTGTCCCCTTTGTATCCATTGGATACACCTTCTCCTGAGGGCGGGGGCACCGGAATGGTCATTGTGATTGGTTTATGGAATTTCCTTCTTCTTGGTTCCACAGTGACAATTGGGCTAAATGTTGCTTTGTTTCCAAGGATCTTTTTCACAATTTCATCTGGAACAGGCTGGGCCTAGAGACAGAGAAAGGACCTTAAATGAAAGTAACATTTCTTTTTTTCCCCATCAGGAAGTTTACTTTTTAAGTGAGAAGGAAAAAAAAAAAAAAAAAGACAACCAGGAAACCGCCCCCATGTCTTTCTTTTTTATCATTTCTTACTATTTTAGGAGAGCATGAATAAACAAAACCAAACACTATGACAGGAATGGGTCGGTCTGAGTACTTCCCCAGTAAAACACAAATAGCACTGGCTTGCATGAAAGAGAGGGGATCCAGTCTCATGGCAGAGAAGTGTCTTAGTCTAGTCCAAATTAAAGGACAATAAATGCTGAGGTTCAATATATTTTAAACCTATGCAGGACATTCAGTAAAACCTCATAAAGGCAACTCAGACCCACATAAAAACTGAGGCTTTCAGAGTTAATACAAAAAGGCATTCAAAATTTCAAAAGATTTCAATTCTAGTCTACCAAGCCTGTCTTCTACCATTTGGTTTCTTTTCTTTTTGGTAAAATAACTTGATATGGGAGACAGATGAAGGGAGCTTCATACCCCTGAAATGTAAGGCGGTCTCGTTAGCGCTGAGTATTTATTAAAGGTCATCTCAGGATTTAAGAGTGCTTGGCTCAAAACAAACAAACAAAACCCAGTAACTCCATTGGGCAGGAGAGTCCAGCCTCACAAGAAGAACGTGAACCTTCAGTTAAACTATTACTTACTATATTAATAATAGCACCAATTAAGTTATTTTTGTTCATTTTCTTTATTCAATAAGGAAAAAAAGAACTAAAGTCTAACTGAAATAAATATAAGAAAAATATTTTTTCCAAGATTTCCAGTCAGCTTTCCAAACTAAATCAAGTTCCAACTGGTTTGGATAAAACCCAGTATTTACGATTTACTTCCATCAAATCAAAACACTAAAGCTTTCAGGCTTCACTATAACTGATTTTTATGATGTGGTATATCATAAACCATGGCTTGGTATGCAGTTCCACATACTGAGACCAATAACCTATGATTGAAAAAATTATTTTTCGTCAGAAACCAACTGAGACTTTTAAACAGAAAAACCTTAAAATATGTCCCTTATTTAACAAGCCAGTTAGCTAACTTTACACTTGATGCTTTTTATTTGACATAGGAAAATGATTCCCAAAATGACCTAATTAGCAGTATCATTAAGGATGAGTTAGGATAACTATTTCCAGAGCAAAATATGCACTCGCACGCTCTCTGCACATACTGAAGAAAACAACTTTTTGTGACCATTACCTGGAGGCCCACACGAATTCTTTTAGTTAGGGCGCCCTCTGGGAAAGATGCCTGAACAAGGGGCACTGTGGCACTGCTCAGAATCCCACCTTCAGGACCAATCTGGTTGCTTTCCTGTTTAATCCGTGAAACCACAGCAAAATACTGGGGGAAATCTTTCGTGATGATCCTGCAGATACGCTTTTTCCCTAATTCTTCTGGGCTATCAAGTTCTGAAAAGACAAATGAAAGAAAATGCCATCACAATAAGCATATCTACAACGTACCTTAAGTCAAAATGATATATCATTTTAATAGTCAAAATCATTTGTACTCTGTAGCCTATACAGTTTTTATGATAAAGAGAAAATGGTAGTGACCATAAAATACTGGGTTTTGCAAAAATATTATAAAACTATTAATATAAATATTTGTAGAAAATATTTTTACGCATCAGGAACAAACATTTTCAAAAACTGACATTTTACCACCTGTGGATAAATTCCCAGTTTTCAAGAACAAAAGTGGGAATTTACAATAATTTACCCTCAAGCTGCCAAAAGTAGAAATGAGTCAGGAAAAAGAAAAAAAGTGAAGCCTCAAAAGAAAGTAAGAATTTAAGCATGCCTCAAAGCTCCAGAACTTCATTTAAAAATCTCTTTCAAATATGTTAAAGTTATCCAAATGGTTAATATCATCATCATCAATTTCTTTGTGCCCATCAATGGCTCTCATGAGTGGAACTCAACCTGTCCACAAATGAATACATCTTCTTCCCTCCTGCCTACCTCCAAAACTGCTTTCCTCCATAGCCCTAACTCTGGGAAAGGGTTTACAATTTGCTCACTCCTTCACTCTAATAGCTATCACTCAACCTCCTTCATACTTTACATCTAATCATCAAAGTCCAAGTCCAGTTGATTCTCTTTTGGATGCAGCTCACCCTCCTGTCACCTGGGTGTTAAGGCCCTGTTTTAGCTTACCTAATTGCTAAGACCACCTCCCAACCAACTGACTTCTCACTCCAGTCTGTCCCCATAGTGAATCCAGACGTTTGTATGTTTTTTTTAAAGCCAAATTTTATGCATAATTCCGGTGGGCTTCATTGGAATAAATAAAAATTTTTATGGCATAAGTGTTTGAGATTAGCAAGAGTATTTTGAAAAAGTAGGTTTGTGAAGGAGAATTTAGCTTATATGATATTAAACTTTACTCAGATGCACCATAATTAAACAGTTATATACACACAGGAATATAAGAATTATACATAGGAATAGACAAATAGGTCAGGACAATAACAGAGAATTAAGAAAGAGATTCCAGTTTAAATATGTATACTGTATATATATAAATCCATATATATTTACTTTTGTATATGTATTATATATTTGTTACATTTAAATCAAGGTCATATATTTAAATTTCAAGTAAGTGAGAGAAAAATGATTTATTTAAAAGATGGTATTTACATAATAGAAAATCTACTTGGAAAAACAAAACTAAATTGTATATAAATAAAAAATTCCATTTGCTTAGGAGACAACTATTTTTAAAAATTGAAATCTTACCAGAAAATTCAGGAAAATATGGTTTAGCCTTAAGAGAAACTTTCCTATACAAAACTGGAAACCCAGAAGCCTAAAAGCCTAATATAAAAGGTAATATATTTGACTACATAAACATGTAAAGATTTCCATGACAAAAACAGTACACTTGAAAAACAAAAAGGAGACTGGAAAAATAGCCACACCTGACAAAAGATTAATATGCTCAATACCAAATGTATTAAGAGGATGGCAGACAAGTCAATAGACAATAGCAAAATGTTATAAACAGGCAATTCACAGAAGCTGAAAAATGGTCAATAAAACATATTAAAATGTTCAAACTGGATAATTTACACAGAAATGCCAATTAGAATGAGATACTATCTCCCTCCACACCCAGTTCTTGGGTTAGCTGAAATTAAACAGGAATAACATCTTGTTATCAGGGAAAAATTAGGGGAAACAGGTGACTTCATCATTGCAAGTGAGTATGAATGGCAATAATCTTTTAACAGTGTAACTGGGCATCATCTATTCAAATTGAAAATGCAACTACCCTGGATCCAGCAATCCCATTTACTAACTTTTTTTTTTTTTTGAGACAGATCTCGCTCTATTTTGCAGGCGGAGCGTAATGGCAGGATCTTGGCTCATTGCAACCTCTGCCTCTCAGGTTCTAGTGATTCTCCTGCCTTGGCCTCCTGAGTAGCTGGGATTACAGGTACATGGCACCATGCCTGGCTAATTTTTGTATTTTTAGTAGAGACAGAGTTTCACCATGTTGGCCTGGATGGTCTCGATCTCCTCACCTCAGGTGATCCCCCTGCCTTGGCCTTCCAAAGTGTTGGGATTACAGGCGTGAGTCACAGTGCCTGGCAGCATTGCTTATAAAGACTAAAGCCTGAAAGAGCTTGCATCTCTATCAATAAGAGAAAGGTTACATAAATAACAGTTTCCCCGTATTCTAGACATTCCCGCAGCTAGTAAACAGAATGATTCCAATTCATTCATTTACCAAGTTTTTACTGAGGGACCATGTAGAGCACTGATCTAGTCACTGAGAATAGAGTAGAGAGGAAATTAAAGTCACTCTCACATGGAGATTTTATTCTGATAGGGGTTAGAGAGGGGTAGGTACATCACTAAACAAATAGGAAGGAAAAATAAATTGAGGTGAGAGGATAGAATGTGACCAGGGAGGGTAGAGGTGGGAGGGGAGGTTCTTATTTAAACAGGATGATTTGAGATGTGACACTAGAGGGTAGAACAGAGGGAGGGAGGAAGGAAGGGAGGGAGCCAGGCAGGCAGCTGATGCCCTCCATAGCCTGCAGAAACCGCTGTACACCTGAGCAGGATGCCCAGTAATGTGCATGGCATGATCCTTTGTAGGGGAAAATAATCTGCACATATTTGTATGTTTTCCTAAGAAATATGTAGAAGAAACATTTTAGGCTGTTAGCAATGGTTACTTCAGAGGAACAGGAAATGGAATTGGGGTGGGGAGATAAGAAGAGGGTAGGGAACGAGAGTATATATTTATGTAGCTGTGTTTGTTTTACCTATTAACAAAATAAAGAGAAAATCCCCAAACTTTGGGGGGTGGGGGTTGTTCTTGTTGTTCATTACTCCTATAGGCCTCTCTTCATACTTCAGATACATAAGCACATGTCCCACTGTCCCTTAACTATTAACATTTCTGCCTCCTTAACAAATACGTGAGGCTGAGATTGTGGCTTATTTCAAATAGAAATTTGTAGAATGGCAAAATGAATGATTAGGTAATTGGATCAATACATCTTTTCATTTTACAAATCAACCACTAAATGATCCATCCTCTGAGATGAGAGGATCAAATTATCAACTAAGAGAGAAACAGGGTTCAACCCAGATTTAAAAAATGAGCCACCAACAGAACTTTTATTATCAAACATTGATTTCCCAAATGGAACAATGACTACCGAACTATTTTCTTGTCTAATTAAAAAAGACAAGTATCAGAAAAAAAAAAGGAACTGGAATTTTACTCCTTTTTGCCTCCTAAAGCATCTTCACCTCTGTAAACCTAAACACTGAGATCCTAGTGTAAAAAAGGAAAACATAATTTTTAAAAAGAAAGTTATATATAGAAAAATAGGAAATAATCAAATAGTTTGCTTAGGAGAATATTCTGGAGGAGTTTTTACCTATTCAGTGTAACTGAAAGGAGATAAAAGTTTTCCATACAGAGCAAATATATTTTCCTCTCCATGATTTGGCTTAAGTGAGTGAATTCCTAGAGTTCATAACTCATGTTGCAATTGAGAAAGTTCTGATTATCTGCTTAAATTGCTATACAACATATCATCAGCTAAGCACGTATTTTTTCACTTCAGCCACAAAGTTTTCATTATGTTCTCCTTCAGAATGGTTCAGGACTCTTTATGCTGCTAGCAATTTAAGAAGACATGATCATGAAATTGCATCCTTCAAATGGGACAGATTTCCAAATTCTGCATATAACAAGCTGTGTATCCTGTGAGGATGAGATTTACTGAAGATCACTCTGGACCCACCAGAGGAACTGGGGCATCTTTTGGGGAACTGGCAGTATTGTACACTTCTTAGCTTTGTGTGTGTGTGTGTGAGAGAGAGATTTCTGGGAGTATGTGCACACATACTAAAGGTAGAAAGAAACAGCTATAACATCCCTGAAAATGATGACAGCTGTGAATTGGGAAGAATTGCCACTTTGTGTAATGGAGGCAGGCTGACCACACTTAAGCTATACTCTGTCACCTTTGATAAGGCATTAAAGCCCCCTCAAAAATAAAGTGAACATGTACACATCAGACACAGCAGACAAGTTGTAAGTGGAGATGCTCAGATTTCTAACTAAACAAACAGAAGCTCCCAGGAGGAACTAATCAGTACCCTCCACATTCAACTTCTGGCATATTTTAGAATTCCCCAGCAGCTCGGGGACCCTCTGTGTTGTGTCCATTCTATTTCAAAGCGTTTAGCAATTCTTCTGACACCATTAAAACTTGCACGGTTATTGACCTTCAATGTACATTTCAACAGTATTCTGAAGATAAGCCTCAACTCCAAGACAAAACTAATGTGGGCATTTCAGGCACTGCTTTAGGCAAGGGGGACATTTAGGGCCTCCATGTACTATGCTTTAAATAGAATCACATACACTGCCTTCTTGAACACTCAGATTTCCAGGTGTCTACATGATGAAATGCAGAAACAGTATTCTATTTTTTTTTTTTTTTTTTTGAGACAGGGTCTCTCTCTGTTGCCCAGGCTAGAATGCAGTGTTGTAATCTCACCTAACTACAACTTCCACCACCCAGGTTCAAGCAATTGTCCTGTCTCAGCCTCCCAAGTAGCTGGGATTACAGGCATGCGCTACCACGCCCAGCTAATTTTTATATTTATAGTAGAGATGAGATTTCACTATGTTGGCCAAGCCAGCTTGAAATTCTGAGCTCAAGTGATGTGCCCGCCTCAGCCTCCCAAAGTGCTGGGATTACAGGTGTAAGCCACCACGCCCATCCCTCTCTTGTTTCTTATAACCAGGTTTCTTCCTGTTTATTTGTGTGATTAAAATATTTATAAGTTTTTTTCCTGAGACTAAAAGCTAAGAAAAATATTAAAAAATACAAAAAGTATTACTTAAATACTGTTTTGTAAAGAAAAGC